GGAGCGCGCCTGCAGGACGGCTCCGAGAAGAGTCACTGCTAGCCTCGCAGGGCAGCGGAGGTCCACGGCAGCCGCGCCGCAGCGGGCGGCGGAGAGTTGGGCGGCGCGGTACTGCGCCTCGTCGCACTCGAGCATCACCGCCTGGAGGAAGGTTCCGAGAAGGTTCCGAGAAGGTACTGCGCCTCGTCGCACTCGAGCAGCGCCGCCTGCAGCACCGCCTGCGCGCGCCGCCGCACCGAGCCGCATGGGTGGCAGCACAGCCGCAGCAGGGTGAGCGCCTGGCGGCGCGCGACGAGTTGACGGATGAGCCGATGCCCCAAAAAGAGAGTGCGCAACCCCAGAGAGTCGAACTGGTCGAGCGCCTGCGGACTATCTCCCCCATATCTCCCCCTATCTCCCCCTATCTCGAGCTGGTCGAGCGCCTGTGGCGAGAGGCCGTCGCAGAGCGAGAGCGTGAGGCCGTACTCGGTCGACGCCTCTCGCGTCGAGAGCAGCGAGACGAGGATCTCGAGCAGCGGCTCGCCCACCTCGCGCCGCAGCGAGCGGAGCCGCGGCGCGGCGGTGCCGAGCGAGCCGACTAGAGACGCGAGCGCCGCTGCGCCGCCGCAGAGGTGAAAGTGCGCTCGCGCGGCGCGCTCGAGCTTCTCGTCCGCGTCGCCGCTGGCGTCGGGAAGCCGGACGATGGCGAGGACGAGGTCGAGGAGCGCACCCAGCCGCGTCGGCCCCTCGCCCACCGCCGAGGCGACGCCGTGCGGCGGAGGCAGGCAGCCCCGCAGCAGAGGCTGGAGCGGGTGGCGTGGGAGGAGGGCATAGAGGCCGCGGGCACCGAGCAGCCGCGCCGTCGCGCTCAGCAGCGGCCCTATCGAAGGCGAAGGGCAGGCGAGCTCCGTCTCGCAGAGGCAAAGCATCATCTCTAGGATGCGCTTATCAGAGAGCAGGCTCAGCGACGAGCGCTCCACCTCCGCCACGACCTCGCTCACCGCGCTGTAGTCTCGCGCGACCCGCTGCAGCCGCGCGAGCACGGCGTTGTTGAGCGCCGCCGACTCGCGACGAGATTGGAAGATGTGCTTCAACATGGCAAGCACGCCGCAGCCGCGCCAGCTGTGTACCGGAGAGCGACGACTCAGAAAACTGCCCGCAAGTAGTCTTTCTCCCCATCTGGTCCGCGTGCTGGTGTGGACCCTGTCCTCCTCCCCCATCCGAGTGTGAGTGAGTGTGTGTATGAGTGTGTGTGATCACTAAACTTTTTTTCTGAGCTTAGCCTTCGATGTTATGAAACAAACGCAAGGCGGACATGGCATATCGCTCTCGGGCCCACAGACCTCCCGCACACTCGCCGCACACCCGCCGCCCCCGCGCGCGCCCCGCCCCGGCCGGGAGAAAGGGGAGTGACAGTTTGGGATGGCAACAGAACGAGTATGTTGAGTCCTGGCTCAACAACGCAGAGAGAAATGAAAGCTGTCCGGCTCCCAAGTCCGGCTCGCGCGCCCCGACTGACCGATCTACCGCACTGAACACTTTCGCCCCCTCGCTCCCAACCCATCCACCCCGCCCCGGGCCGCGCCGCGCGATCTCGGGCCGCGCGATCTCGGGCGATCTCGGGCCGCGCCGCGTGACCTCGGGCGATCTCGCACAATCTCGCGCAATCCCGGAGCTCCACGCCACGCCACTCCACCCCACCCCACCTCACCCACCGCCGCGCCGCGCTATCTCGGGCGATCTCGGAGCGTCGCTCGCGCGGCGTCACACCTGCTCAAAAAAGGAAGGGCCTGGTTGGAGCCACGGGGCTCACGAGGACGTGCTCGCTCGGTTCTCGCCGCCCC